CTCCATTGTGGTTAGAGTTTTCACTTGTCTCTTGAAGTGCAGATTTCGTGGCAGGCCATGTGCAGATTTCGTGGCAGGTGCAGCACTTTGTGAACCTCCATGTGCAGATTTCGTGGCAGGCACAACACTTTGTGAACCTCCATGTGCAGATTTCGTGGCAGGTGCAACAATTTGTGAACCTCCATGTGCAGAGTTCGCGGCAGGTGCAATACAAAATGCGTTTTCGAGAGATAGCGGACGTACGAAATGCTGTATTTTTCAATAGAACCGGCGGCTTTGAACCTAGCTCTGCGGAACGGGTTGCGAGACGGTCTCGGGTCCTGGTCGGATCATGCTCGAATCGTCCCTCCATTGTGGTTAGAGTTTTCACTTGTCTCTTGAAGTGCAGATTTCGTGGCAGGCGCAGCACTTTGTGAACCTGCATGTGCAGATTTCGTGGCAGGTGCAGCGCTTTGTGAACTTCGAGGTGCAGATTTCGTAGCAGGCACAGCACTTTGTGAACCCTCATGTGCAAATTTCGTGGCAGGTGCAGCGCTTTGTGAACCTCCATGCGCAGATTTCGTAGCAGGCACAGCACTTTGTGAACCTCCACGAGCAGATTTCGTGGCAGGCGCAGCACTTTGTGAACCTCCATGCGCAGATTTCGTGGCAGGTGCAGCGCTTTGTGAACCTCCATGTGCAGATTTCGTGACAGGCACAGCGCTTTGTGAACCTCCATGTGCAGATTTCGTGGCAGGCACAGCGCTTTGTGAGCCTCCGTGTGCAGATTTCGTTTCAGGTGCAGAACTTTGTGAACCTCCATGTACAGATTTCGTGGCAGGCGCAGCACTTTGTGAACCTCAATGTGGAGATTTCGTGGCAGGCACAGCACTTTGTGAACCTCCATGCGCAGATTTCGTGGTAGGTGCAGCACTTTGTGAACCTCCATGTGCAGATTTCGTGGCAGGCGCAGCACTTTGTGAACCTCCATGTGCAGATTTCGTGGCAGGCACAGCACTTTGTGAACCTCCATGTGCAGATTTCGTGGCAGGCGCAGCACTTTGTGAACCTCCATGCGCAGATTTCATGGCAGGCGCAGCACTTTCTGAACCTCCATGTGGAGATTTCGTGGCAGGCGCAGCACTTTGTGAACCTCCATGTGGAGATTTCGTGGCAGGCGCAGCACTTTGTGAACCTCCATGTGCAGATTTCGTGGCAGGCGCAGCATCTGGGGAGCTGGAAGCTGAGAACTGGCGACTTTGTAGTGCAACTTTAGTACGCGGAGCAATTTGTGAGCTGGAAGCTGAGAACTGGCGACATTGTAGTACAACTTTAGTACACGGAGTAATTGGCGAGCTGGACGAGGAGAACTGGCGACTTTGTAGTACAACTGTACTACGCGGAGTATCTGTGGAGCTGGATGGTGAGAACTGGCGACTTTCTAGTACAACTTGAGTACGCGAAGCAATCTGTAGAGCTGGAAGCTGAGAACTGGCGACTTTGTAGTACAACTTTAGTACGCGGAGTATCTGTGGAGCTGGATGGTGAGAACTGGCGACTTTGTATACAACTTTAGTACGCGGAGTATCTGGCGAGCTGGACGATGAGAACTGGCGACTTTGTAGTACAACTTTAGTACGCGGAGTACAACTTTAGTACGCGGAGCAATCTGTAGAGCTGGAAGCTGAGAACTGGCGACTGTGTAGTACAACTTTAGTACGCGGAGCAATCTGTAGAGCTGGAAGCTGAGAACTGGCGACTTTCGAGTACAACGTTAGTACGCGGAGCAATCTGTAGAGCTGGAAGCTGAGAACTGGCGACTTTGTAGTACAACTTTAGTACGCGGAGCAATCTGTGCAGCTAGAAGCTGAGAACTGGCGACTGTGTAGTACAACTGCAGTACGCGGAGCATCTGGGGAGCTGGAAGATGAGAACTGACTGGCGACTGTCTAGGACAACTTTAGCGCGCGGAACAACCTGTGGAGCTGGAAGCTGAGAACTGGACACTTTGTAGAGTTGTGGGCTGCTGATCTTGTCGTGGCAAAGATACAACCCAGTACGCTGTTGTGAGCTGCTGATCCTGCAGGGGGCACACGCCTTACACACGTGGAATCCCGTGGGTCAAAAGTCCGGAGCGCGTGCGTTTGACTGGAGGACGCGCATGTTGGAGAGAACGTGGACACTCCTATAGGTCAATTTGTTCTTATAGGAAACTTCCGCCGCCGGCTTGCCCGGGAACTGCTTGTACAGGAAAAGCGAAATCAACAGCGCGTTCCTGAGTATTCCTCGTGAATCAAACCATGTTTTACACGGAGGTGCTTCTGGGTTCTCTGGGAAAGGATCTTTGAAAGTGTGGACAAACGAAACATACGATCTCCGCCCATCAGCATGCCTGCGTCGAGCCCCAGACCAAAAAGCTTCATTTGCTCAGGAGGCACTTCAGTCATTGAGTAGATTTGCATCCGAAGCATCTCCCAACCTTCACCTTTGCGCAAGAGCTTCGAGCCGAACATATTGTCAACATTCAAATCACAAACCGCTGAACTAGTGCGACGTACTTCTTGTTCCAAGAAACTGGGCTCGCATTCAATTTCGAACTCTTTGCCAAAATAGCGAATAAGGATCGCCACTGGGCCACAAGGCTGTGGAAGCTCCACAGCTTTGAGGTCTACCGAGCGTGGTAAAGTTGAGATGAATCCAGGCTCCATTACTTTGCTCCGAGCATTCCAATCCAGCACCTGACCTTTGGCATCCAGCAAGCCTAGAAATGGTATACCCCGTACCTGGAAAAGGCTGGACAGCTGTTGCTGTCGGCTGCGATCAGCAAATGGAACGGCGTGCCATGGCATTGTGGAGAAATACTCCTTGAATGAGTTCTCATCATGGTCACTCGAGACGAACACGACCTCAAACGCCTTTCCTTTCAACTTGGCGCGCTCGTATACCTTTCGGAATTGTGGTGTAAAGCTTCGACATGGACCGCACCAGTGCGCTGAAAAGTAGACTCCAATGACTCCATGCAGAGACCCTGTAGCGACTTCATTGCCTCCATGCAAGACCTTTTGCCCCAGCAGCAACTCCATCTCGGACACAAATGCACAGAAATATGCATATGTCCCTGACACGCAAACTCACCCAGTGTGTATCTGATCTGCTTGGGGGCTGGATATGGTTTGGACTGTACAACATGCTAAGAAAATCCTTCTTGCAACTCTATCACAAGCAAAAAAAGCTTAAAAGCTGCACACAAGAAGAGGAGACATGTAAAAACTCAGCTTCCAAGCAAACATGTGGAAGCCTCACCTGCCCATCGTCGGCAACCCAACAGTAAACAACACCGCAACTTGAACAGATCGCTGTCAAAGGCGTTTGCAATCTGCATCTTGCAATGGCTTATACAATTGGGGAGGTTTTAACCTATAAATACCTATAACTTATAACATCCTATAACCTGTCACATTCGGAGCAAATAAATGGTGCCCTGGTATTCTTGCTTTCTAGAAGAAACAAAGGAGCTTGTATATTGTGCTTTGTGCAGCAGAACTGGCAAGCAGGAATTGTACGCTTGCTCCCCTCGCCCCACCCCCAACGATTCTTACTTTCCCAAATTTGGTCGACATCGTCGCCGGTGGGGCCAGTTCCTCATGCTTCCGGCCTCAGAAAATCTGTCAAACAGCTTGCTCCCCTCACAGCCCAACAATCCTTTGCGTCAGCGTCTTCCTCCTAGAACCCACTTCCCTGGGAGCGGCCGTCCACCAACCTTACACACGAGGGGGTTCGCGCCGTGTCCTTGCAGTGGTTCCACGCACACTACATATCCAGCAACCAAAACAGGGCAGCCCCTTCTCAGACCATTCCAAAAGCTTGTTTAATCTTGCCGGACTGTTGGACAATGTAGCAGGCCAGAAGGGGGTTGCAAAGCGCTGTCAAAGTCCTGTGGCAATGCGTTATCCAATTCAATTGGGAGGTTTTTACCTCGATGCTGCAAACGTGCTACCCGTTGTTGGCAGACTGGCTGTGAGGGAGATAAACTGGGTGACAAATCCTGCACCCCAATACGCTGCCAGGGAGATTTTGGTCTTGAAGGAGTTGGGAACAAAACGTTTTTGGCGAACAAACTGGAAGAGGTGCCACCAAGTGACCCACTACATCAGAGGTGCATCTTGTGAAATTCCAAACAGTTCAAAACCCAAAGAAACGGACAACACCTGTGTAAAACAATGATGTTCATCTAAAACAACATTTTGTGATAGGCAAGATGGTCATTGGCTTGTCAGTTTTGTTGCCATTGCGATCCCAGTCAGGAACCGGGAAGGTCACTGTCATGCGTCACAGGGACAAAGAAGGTTTGTAATACAAACCCCCGTTTTGTGTAACCGTGCAAGTGAAACATACCAGTCAGACCGGAGATCTGAGGAAACGCGCAGAATGAGTGAAACTCAATTGCCATTGTGACAAGTCCGCTTGCACTCAGTCCATGCAACCAATTCCAAATAGCTGTCGCAGCTGCTCATAAAGTCCAAAGGAAAACAGGGTCCTCACGAGAGGCACGTTCATGTAGCGCTAGAATGGACTGACTACTAAATCCATTGAGCCGTTGGCACTGGAAGAAGACGGAGGAAAGCAGGCACCCATCCACGGAGCAAAACCAAGGGTCCAGACCTGGCAATGGAGTGGTACAAAAAAGGCCGTTGCAACATGTCCTGCCAAACCAAACTGCCCAACGCGAGTTCAGTATGTTCATTTCACGCCTGCTTTTGAAATTTTAAGCCCATGTGCTCAAATTATTCGCATATACTTATATATATATAATACATAATTATGTCAATAATCGATCGTGCTGCAGGGACTTTTACGCCTGAGCAGAGACAAAGGAGCGTGTGGAGTGCGCTCGGTGAAGGTTGGGCCACCAACATTGGTAGTGGAGCAGGCGAACAATCACCGGCCTCCTTGGTAGCAGGACGCTGCAGGAGACCGAGTGCTGTGTAGTGGCGCCCTCAGGTATTTATCCGGCGATGATGCTGGCTGAGGACTTGAGCGAAGTGGTAGAACACTTGAAGGAGCCCGACTGTACCATGCAGGTGAAGGGGGGAGACAAGGTCTTGTTTGACCTGCTTGACCAGCGTTGGCCGGCTGTACAGGACAGACGAGATTAGAGAGAACACCATCGCTGCCGCGTTTGCCTTGAAGGCAACGGAAGGTGAAACCATCCGTCATGCGCGCCCAAGCTCGGAAGACTTTCCAAGGAGGCCAGGTCCTTGTGAACAGCTCTGGAATGAATGAAACTGATCGAGCCAGTTGAATGAGCTCTCCAGCTGATGCGCTCCTGTTTTCCGGAGAAAGAAGAGAACTGTCGCTGCACACCTTGTTGAGGAGAATCAAGAAGACGCTGCCTCTCATTCTGGCGACGACACCTTTCAAGATGTCGAGCTGGAGCTGTTTTCGGCGGAGCGCGGCCATGAAGAATCTGGTCTTGGTGAAGCCGAGCTGGAGGGGTTCGAGGAGGAGGAGGCGGAGGAGGATGCAGCGGAGATTCTGGCTGCAGGCTGCATCATTGAAAGAACGCAGAGTTGAGCTGAGAATCAAGTCCAAAAAACTCGCACGACTGTTCGACTGTTCAACATGACACCCACTGTCAAAGCTCTGGTGGAAAGGAACCGCCAATTGTTCAGAGTGCAATTGGAGGAGGGACAAGATGTCGTCGCTGTGGAAAGATTGGGCGCGCAAGGCCCCAGCATCGTCAAGCGCGCCTGGTTCGATGCGGCTGGTGCAGTGCAGGTCCTAGAGCCTGTTTCAGAGCATTCTATTTGCACAGCAGCCGCAGTTGATTCAGAGGAGCAATAGATTTTGTTGGTCAGCAGCCCAGGCTTCGCCATCTTGGACTTTGGCTGTGGCTTCGCTGACGACAAGCTGACCTTGTTCAAAGAGGTGAATGCCCGAGGGATGCAAGCAAGCTGTTTCCGACTCAGCAGCAGGGCTTGCCTCTCGGATGCGCAGGCTTAGAAATCTTGGAACCCCATCATGGCCACCGACCACTTTACTGACCTCTCCCAGGGCTTGGATTTTGAAGACTATGCCATGGTGCAGGCTCTCTTCATGCTGATGCTGTGTTAAGTTCGTTTGCACCACCAGCTCCATCCGGACAACAAACAAACCTGTCGTTCTGGCGTGCTGCCAAGGAATACCGAAGAAGAACCTTCTCAAGAATGCTTGACTCAGCCCTACACGTCAGGCCACCAATGGGTGCCTTTCCACAGTGGGCAAGTGCAGAGGCTGCACCACCTGCTTCCGAGACAAGAAGCCCAGGATGCAAGTCATTCAGGAACTCTTGGATGGCCAGGGGGACATCACCGGCAGGATGGAAGAGCTACTTGCATCTTGGCCCGTTGTGATGCATACCATGGTCCGCTTTGGACATGTGGCAGAGTGCACACAGTCAAGATCCAGAATGGGTCACTTGAACTTACTGTCAGGTTCCGCAAAGCCCGTGCTTCCACTCCCTCCCGCACATTGCCGGAGATGTTTTCCTAGACGCACCTCTTTGCACTGGAGAAGACACGAGAAGAACAAATACAAATAACTAAATCAATAAATAGGTTTCTAGATGAACATTCTGCGCCTGACACGGTGACAACATTGTGGTGCTTCTGATTTGGCAAAATTCCAATTTTCCAATGCAAAGCACGAACATGAAGAATCTTGGCGCCCGGCTCTTGGACCAAGGCCATTGCACAGCCCAATGGCCCGTGGCGACCATAGCGAGCCAAGCGCTCGCCACCCAAGCTGTGTGCGCTCTGGTACCTGGCAGTTGTGGTTGTAGCAACTACTGTGCAATGAACCAGTGACAAGCATGACGGGTGGAGATTGAGCCAACTTGTGATTCAGACGGGCCATAGGGCACACAGTGAGTACCACATCAAAGGGCATGTGGCACGTGGTGCCCACAACAGCAGCCTCAAACAGCAAACTCCTCATTTTGTTTGGGGATGTTTAAGGCAACCGTCAACATATCTGGCAAACGAGATCCATGGCACCACGGACAGACTCACAAGCCATGAAGATTACAGTACACGTCATGTCAGTTTCTAAGCTCCAAGTGCAAGGCCAGCTTCAAGGAAAACTGAGTCCATCACAATCGTAGAAGATATTAAGTGTAAACACGGGCCTGAGTACAACATAATGGAATCACAGGTTGGAGCCCTTCTCAAAGTACAGGGCTTGCCGGGTGGAGAGATTGCAGGGTTTAACAAGCGGTCAGTAATCTCCAAAATGCAGGACTGTTTTGATGCCGGATGAAATACATCTGCCATCTGCATCACTGCCAGGTAGTTGACGAGCAGCAGCTCAGATTCAACCAGACCAGCATTTCATGGTCTCTCCCGGCAGCAAAAGTCATTCAAAAGACTCTACAGGTTCCAACTTGGTCGGAAACAGCATCTGGATAGCTCTCAAGAAACGTAGTCTCAAGAAACGTAGGCAATGATAAGGAGCCAAAAAGGCTCCAAACAAGAGAAGGTGTTTTTCCTGTTGAAGCAAACCACACCTTTTGCAAACAATCTCTAAGACGAACCCGAAGACGCCACTGAGCCAGGTGAGCTCGTGCTCGAAGTGTCACTCTCTGTACTTGGGACACCAGCACAGAAACAGAAATTGCCTGTGCAAAATGGAAACAGAAAGTAACAAAACCAAACCACAACAAGTGTATTGCATTCAAACAGCCAAGGGACCAAATCCAGACGTGAAGCCCTCCTCCACGATGTTTAAGGACGAATCGCGGAGATCAACGACTCCTTGCCTAAGAAGGACACCAAAGTCATACATCCGAAACTCGGCCGCAAGTCTAACCAGGCGGCTGAAATTTGTAGCCTAAAGGTACTATATGAAGATATCATATATACCCAAACATGTATTGCCTCAACCCATGCTATCAATTGCTATGGTCTTGTCTGAAGGCCAGCATGCGGGGCAGCAAACTCAGTGTTGACAGTGCGCAAACAGTTATCAAAATGCAATAGATTGGCCGAGGCTCATCACATGCTCAGTGACAGATGGATCTCTGTCCACAATCTGCATTCGAACCTCAGAATCTCTTGCAAGAGATTGGAATGACAAGGTTATTCCTGACGTCGAGAAGGACGGGTTGCCAAGTGCGCTATTCATTCAATTTGTGCACAATAAACTGACCCATGCGCTTGTTGCTCAGCTTGAATCCACTTAGCTGAGGTTTCACACCCCCCACGCCAACAAGAACGACCAAATGTAGCCTTGGTGAGAAGCTGCGTCGCCCGAAAATTGGAAACAACAAGTCGGAGGCTCCAAAGGTATTTGTTGTGCATGTGTAAATATATAAATATATTGTCTTTTTTATAATACGCTCACGAACACAGCCCGTGCCCCCTGAGTTAAATTAGGTTTGCTAGCCGCAACATCCAAACGAACACAAAACTTTGCTTGCCCCCTTGGAGAACAATACACGCTGATTTTCCATGTGTTGCACTACAAGTAGAACTTGCTTTCTACTTGCAAACAACTGCAAAAAGTTCAAGTTATATATTTCAAGCCCTACAATTTGGCTCTTCAGTTTTAAGCCTTCATGCAATTAGGTTTCTAGGTATCTAGAAATTTTGAAAACATAAAAAAATCCAAGTTCTCCAAAACTAGATACTTAGTTGCTTCAATGCTTTTCCCCTTCGCGGAACACTTTAAGAACACCTCAAAGTTAGACCTTGCATGTTCCTAGGATTCCAGGTATTTAGACAACTCAAAAAACTATAACAAAACAATTCAGCGAAGTGGCGCACCACAGAGAGACCCTTTTTTACTCAATTTGTCAAATGGGCTGCACGGTATACGAGTATACACCATGCCATGTCACGTACACAGCTGCCCGATTTCCTAGCTTTGAGCCACCATCGCCATACGGCGCTGTCCAGCATGTCATCGGCTCGCCAAGGTTGTGCAGCAGATAGGCCCTTCTGCGCCCTATCCATCACTTGTAGTCCTTTTTTGATGCAAATGGTCGCGAGGAAGTTGTCCTGGTCTTCTTTCACCTTGGCGCCTTTGATCAAGGCTTGCGATAGATCAACTCAATCCCTGGCCTGCGCTTGGTCGGCGTGGCTTCGTTCAATGTCTTTGTCCCAATGTCAGCCAAGTCCTCTGACGTGTGAGCTGCACCTAGCTCGAAGGCCTTCTCCTTCAAACCATCTTGCGCCCATAGGCACTTTGCCTCGAGGCGTCGAACTCTTTCCACACCGCGGCGTTGAGAAATGCCCTGACCCGCGCTCGAGTCCATCCACAAGTTGACCTTCGTGGGCAGGCCAAAGAATTCCAAGATCTGCTTGAAGAATAGGGCTTCAGCTCCTCGTCATACGCCCTTGCCGATGAATCAGTCACCGCGATCTTGGGTCTCTTCTCTTGAGGTTCTTCTGCGTCTTAAGTGCCCTCTCCTTTCTCTCATGGCTGCCAGGTTCTCCTCCACTGGCTTTGCCTGTGACGACTTTTGGCTTTGGCTCTCCTGGAATGCGGGCTTTGGTGTTTTGGGCGCTGGTGTCTCTTCTCCACCAATAGCCTTCTAAGTTGTCCAATTGACGTTAATCAAATCAGCTGAATATCTCAAGTCTTCTCAAAGTCGCTTCACTGACGGACTCCCTTCTTCATTCCCAGGGGGTACTCGTTGCACTCATTGGTCTTGCCGAGGAAGATGACTTTTTTCCATTGGAAGTCTCCCTTGAGCTGTCGTTGGTTTTGCACCCTTCTTCCGCTCGCAGACGTAGGCATCCGGAATAGCGCATCCCGCCGCGTGCGACAATTGGTGTGTCATAGCGGTGTGCAAAGGCGTCCTCAAAGGCTGTCCTCATATCTTGATCTTGCGCAAGCCGTGCGCGGCCACAAAGTCTTGCTCGGGTTCACCTTAGTTCTTTTGGACTCGTCCAGCATGTCAGGACATCAGAAGAACTGCTCCCAATGACTGAGGGCTGTTGGTGTCTTCTTGCAAGGCTGCATTCGACTCCTCTCTCAATCTCTCTGCAACGTTGGTGATCAATGGTTCTCGATCAGTTCTAACGGCCAGGTGAACGTGTCCCAACTGTGACACGAAGCTCTTCAAGCTCTTCACGGCATAGGTCATCTCGAGGTTCTTGGCAGGTAGGCTCATAGTCACGATCACCGCAGCTGGATCTTCCACACTTTCAGTGCCATCTGCCTTCAGGAAACTGCTGTCGATCATTTGCATTTTGCCTCACGTTTGAGCGCCTGACGCGCGATCTCCGCGTTTCGCTTCACGTTTGAGCGCTCGACGCGCGCGATCTCGGCAGAGGGTTCATCCAGCCCACCCAGAATTCGCATTTCGCCTCATGTTTGAGCGCTTGACGCGCACGATGTAAAACTAAAAAAGCGGAAAAAGACTGAATAGGTTTTGTTTTTGTCGTCCGCAAAACTGAATTTAGTCTATTTTGTAGAGCTTTTGGCTTTTTGCTTTTTCGTGCAGTGCAAAACATGAACAAAGATGTTACGGAAGAGATTTTACAGTAGTTATTTGCAGCTGAGTACATGACATAGTGTATACACGTATACCGTGCATGTGAGCGTGGAGGACAAGAGGGTCTCCCTGCGGCGCGCCACGCCGCTGCGTGGTAGCGGAGGTCTGAAGTAAACTCAAGGCAAAGAGGGCGAGGCAAGACGACGGACCTGGGCAAGGCCGTGGCAGCCTGAGCACGGTAAGACTAGGTGACAAAGAACCTGGCGCTCCCATCCGGACGTGCGGGGTGCTCACAATGGAGGAACTGGACCAACGCCAGACCCCAGTTTGGGGGCTTCGCCACGCCGATGGCGGCGGCTATGCTGGCAGGCCCGGCTGGCGGAGGCCTCATCGACTACAGACCTTCAGCGCGAAGGAGACAACTGGGCGACATGGGAGTTTGCGCCACCTCAACGATAACAACAAGATCCATGCCTGGGCCTACAAAGTGTGCAGTGGTTATCATTCAGACCTCCAAAAGAACATCGAGCTCAAGCAGTGGGACCGTCCTGAGGAAATGCGTCAAAGACTAATTCGCAGAGCAAAGAATTGACTCGGGGACTGCTGAGCAAGAGCAGCAACGATGGCCCACAAGCCATGGACGTTGGCAACGTGGACAAAGGACAAAAAGGCAAAGACAAGGGCCAAGGAGTGGAAGAGCAAAGACAATGGCAAGGACACAGGAAAAAAAGGAGCCAAAGGCAAGTTCGATGGCGAGAGGGCGACTGAAGGAGTTTGGCTACGCTATCCATGGTAACGCTGGACAAAGCCAAGCGAAGAGAAGGAAACAAGAGACAAGCAGAAGGCCCTTCAAGAAGAAAGATTGGCAAGAAACGAGGACCTCCGTTCCACCGACACCGACAGAAGCAGAAGCGGCAAAGCACAACCTCACACTCATGCCTAGCGAGCCATGGTGCATTCATTGCCAGAAAGGAAAAGGAAATAACGTCAGTCGTCGGAGAACAGACAGAGTGGCAGTTGCCAAAGTGCGTAACTGTCATCGCAAATGACGCCGGAAGCTGGAAGTCGCTAAATTAAAATGTGTAACTGTCGTCAAAAACGGAGGTGGAGCCCGCCAGAATGTGAAACTGTCGCCGAAAACAAGGGTGGAGGTTGCCAAAATGTTTAGCTGTCGTCGAAAGCGGAGGTGGAGGTTGTAACTGTCGCCGAAAACGAAGGCGGAGGTCGCCAAATTGTTGTGGGAAACAAGAGGCGAGGCTTGCCAGAATGTGAAGCTGTCGCCAACAACAAAGACAAAGGTGGAGGCCAAAATGCAATTGCCGTCGAACGCGGAGGTGGAGGTTGTTGCCAAAGCGAAAGGGTATAACTGTCAGCCGAAAAGAAGTTGGAGGTCGCCTAAGAGTGTGTAACTGCCATTGAAAAAGCTTCTGGGAGCTGTGGCATCAGAACTGGCCACTTACTTGGTAGTTCAAATGCAATGCGGGGTCAAAGCCGGCCACTCACTTGGTAGCGCCAGTGTAGCGCAGCGCCTGCGATGATTAATGTTACATTGTCGTATCTAGTCTGCTGCACACTGTGTGGCCAAGTCCTGCCTGTGATGTCGCTGTGTCGCGCGGTTTTGCGCGGCCACGGTGGAAAGCGCATTTGTGTGAGTCCGTGCCAAACACGCTGGTGTAAATTCGGCGTGT